TAAATTCTGCATTAAATCTCATTGTTCCGACTACGACTTTAACTTTTTATACAATCACCAACGTACTACATTTTTGTTTTTTTTTCCAAAACAAACAGGTTGGAGGTCAATCTAGNAGTTCCTTCTCGGGTCTCCTCTCAAGTCTCCTCTCAAGTCCCCTCTGGAGTTCCCTCTCTTGTCCCCTCTCGAGTCCCCTCTCAAGTCCCCTCTCGAGTCCCCTCTCAAGTTCCCTCTCGAGTTACCTCTCGAGTCACCTCTCGAGTCTCCTCTCGAGTCCCCTCTCGAGACCCCTCTCCAGTCACCTCTCGAGTTCTCTCTCAAGTCACCTCTCGAGTTCCCTCTCAAGCCCTCTCTCGAGTCTCCGTTCAGGTTCCCTCTCAAGCCCTCTCTCGAGTCCCCACTCAAGTCCCTACTCAAGTGCCGTTGGAGCTTCCGCTGGGGGTCCTGCCAACTCCATGTCCTGTCCCGTTGGGGATCCCGCCGACTGCTCTCCTGCCAGGGGTTCTGCCAACTCCATGTCTTGTCCCGTTGGGGGTCCCGCCGACTACTCTTCTGCCAGGGTTCCTGCCAACCCTGTATCCTGTGCCGTTGGAGGCCCCGCCAACTACTCTTCTGCCGGGGGTCCTGCCAACCCTATGTCCTGTGCCGTTGGAGGTTCCGCTGACTGGTCTCCTGCCGGGGGTCCTGCCGGCCCTGTGTCCTCTTCCGTGGGGGATCTTGCCGACACCTGTCCCACCGGCTCCGGATCCTGTCCGGTCTTTGCACTCGAGCCCGGCCCCCTGAGTGCCGCGGCCTTCGCCCTAATGACCGGCCCCCTGAGTTCGCCCGCTGTGGTCTTCGCCCCTTTTTGAACTCCGCCTTGCCCCCGGGCCGTCCGCCCGAGACCCCCTCCTCAAACTCTGCCTTGCCCCCGGGCCGTCCGCCCGAGACCCCTTCCTGGTCCTCTGCCGTGCCCTAGGCTGTCAGCCAAGGCCCGTCCTCCGGACCCCCTCCACCCATCCTGCTGAACGTTGTTGGATTTTTTTTGGTGTTTAGGGACGTCTAGAATCCGTCCCTTGAGGGGGTTCTGTCACGATTCTCATGTCATGTCACGTTTCTATGTTTAGGTTTGGGTGTTTTGCTGTTCTCCCTGTCGTGTTTTCCCCTTCGTTAGTTCCCTGGGTGTCAGTTGTCTGATTGGTCCTGGCTCCTTGTGTTTCTCCTCCCTGCCCGGCTTTTCTCCGTCTTGTGATTACCTCCCTGTATTCTAGCTTGTCCTCTCTGGGTTCAGTTTGGGTCGTCTTTGTTTGGACTGAGTTCCACCGTGAGTGTGTTTGTGTTTTCCATGGTGAAATGCCGATAAACCCTTGAATACAAGGTAGTAATCAATATAGCTGCGTTGGCGTCTACCTGCTCACATCCTCGTATCAATCTTCCAGTTCCATAAGATGGAGGATGCAGAGGGCTTTAGAGTGATGGAAGTCAAAAGCAATCCTCCACTCAATTCAAGCTAAAGAAATACAACATCTCTTGTTCTTTGGATGTTTCAGGTGCAATAGCTTGACAGATGTGCCATTGTACACATTGGTATGCTTTGGGAAGGCATTGCCTTTTACTGGCCAAGGACACACTGGGCCTGTCTTTTGTCCTAGTACCGGAAAAGAAGCCCGGCCCCTTAANCAGTGGTTTCTGAACTGCATTATGCTGCGTTCACAACGGACGTGAATATTCTCACCCTAACTGCTGGAGTTTCACCGCGGGTGTCAGCTGTGTTTACTCCTGTCATTCAAACAGGACGCGCTGGAGAGGGGGCGGGGCTTATATCCATATAAATACTGTGGTGGAAACCAACTACGACAAAATTAACCTATTTTACCGTGATTTAATTGTAACACACGTTTCAAAATGATGCCGAAGTAACTAAATACTGATAACGGTTAGTAACCAAGCTGTAGTCAGGATTCAGACAGTGTTGCACTTCATGTATTGTCTTGGTTGATTCTGTTGGCTTATATTTGATCAATAAGGTATTTATATTGTTTTTCCCTTTTGAAACAGATGTTCAGTTATGTTAAAGTCTTTGATTGCACTTCAAATCTAAAGTTTACATTTGAATTGTTTGGCACTGACTTTCCCTCATTGATGTTTAACTTAGTTATGTTTTACTCTCCTTTACTTTTCACTGATGTTACATCACTGCTAGTGCTACCTAAAACAGAAAGTACATTTTTATACTGAGAAACTGTGCCTTGAATATTTAATTTTATTTAGTGCACTTGACTTGGTGAAGAAACCAGTGTTAACGTTTGTTGTGTAGACCTATACTTGAACACTGAGGAAGCCATATCAAAGTTCCTGTTGAATTGTTCATTCAGGGATTCATCGCAGAATTAAAACCAGCTTGAAATGGTGTTTTGGTCTGCTACTCCTTTTTATTTTAGTTTCTGTTACCTTGAAGGTGGTTATACAGTACTTTTAAGTAACTTGAAAAATAACCATAATAACTAGGGGTGCACCGAATGGGAAATTCTTGGCCGAAACCGATACCGAAAATAGGAAACAGTTGGCCGAAAACCGAATTCTATTAATCATTTTCGGCCTTTCGGCATTCGGTTTTCGGCCAACTGTTTCCTATTTTCGGTATCGGTTTCGGCCAAGAATTTCCCATTCGGTGCACCCCTAGTTATTATGGTTATTTTTCAAGTTACNCACCCCAAGGGAAGACCTCAGTTGGGCACGATTAGACGAGGTCATAGGACGAGGAGCAGGTCCTCAGGCAAAAGACCTTGAAGCAGACCGAAAACCTCCAGGTGGCTCGGAAGTCTCGGCCGTAAGGGATTCTTCTTCCTCAGCCGTCGGGTCCGATCGGGGGCTCGGGGTTCTCGGTACTAAGTGCCAGGGCCATAGACCGGGGTCACCGGGACAAGGCCGGGGATCTGTTGGTACCAAGGTCGGGGGTCATGGACGCCGGGTCGTTGGTACCATAAGGTCTGGGTCAGGTACCGAGGTGTTGGTAGTATGGTGCCAGGTTGGGAATTGGGAGACAGGGAGCTAGCATGCCTGGGGCTAGCAGGCCGGGAATCACACACCGAGAGGATATTCGAAATCCAGCCAGGTAAGAATTTCACCAAACCTGGTTTCTCCATAGCCATCTGGCTCGCCTCTGACAACACAGCCTCTCGCTGCTGAACTCCGGATGCTCTCTTCCATCGATCCGAGCAGTTAGCCAAAAAAAAGGAAAATTCAATAATTCCAGCTCAAACGGATCTGCTGGGCCCATTTCACAGTTGGTTGGTTGGTTCTGATACGAGGAGTGAAGCAGGCAGGACCCAAACGCAGATAACACTTATAATACCTTTATTTCAAGGGCTACAGGTGAACACAATCAGACAACTAGACACACCAGGGAAACTAACGACAGGAGGAAAAACACAGGGAAAAGGACCAGACAATAAACTAAGGGGAAAACATGACAGGGAGAACAGCAAAACACCCAAACCTAGACATAGAAACGTGACATGACATGAGAATCGTGACAGAAACCCCTCCT